AGTGGTACAGGAGGAAGTGGCTGTGAGGGATGGAGTGGTGGGAGGAGTAGAGGAGATCGGCTGTTAGATGAGGGTGTGGTAGGCTTCCCTGAAGAGATGGGTTTTCAGGGTGCGCCTAAAGGTGAGGAGGGTAGGTGACAGTCTGATAGATTGGGGTAGTGAGTTCCAGAGGATGGGGGAAGTCCTGAAGAAGTCCTGCAGTCGGGCGTGGGAGGAGGAGACCAGGGAGCTAGAAAGTAGGAGGTCTTATGAGGAGCGAAGAGTACGGATTGTGTGGTATTTGGGTATCAAGTCGGTAAGGTAGTTTGGGGCAGTGTTATGAATGTCTTTGTACGTCAATGTTAGTATTCTGAATTGAATGCGTTGGGCAATCGGAAGCCAATGGAGGAATGACAGAGGGGGGTTGCAGCTGCGGAGCGGTTGGTAAGGTGGATGAGTCCGACTGCTGAGTTCAGGATAGACTGAAGCGGGGATAGTCTGTGATGAGGTAGGCCGGTGAGGAGGGAGTTGCAGTAGTCAAGTCGTGAGATAATAAGGGAGTGAATGAGTTGTTTAGTAGTGTCTGGGGTTCGGAACGTACATATTTTGGAGATGTTGCGGAGGTGGAGCCTGCATGAGTTTGCCAGCGATTGGACATGGGGTTGGAAGGACAGATTTGAGTCTAGAGTGACACCTAGGACTTTGGCTTGCGGGGTGGGACTGATTGTGGCGTTGTTGGTCGTGATGGAGAGGGGGGGGAGCTCGGTTTAGGAAAGGTTTAATTTGAGGAAGTGGAGTGACATCCAGTCTGATATGTCATTCAGTAGGCAGGTGATTCGGGCGGAGACTGAAGGGGTGAGGCGAGGGGTAGAGAGGTAGATTTGCGTGTCATCGGCGTAGAGGTGGTGGTTGAAGTCGTGGGAGCGTATCAGTTGGCCAAGGGAGGAGGTGTAGATGGAGAAGAGGAGGGGCCCGAGGACAGAGCCTTGGCGGACCCCAACAGAGAAGGGGAGGGTGGCAGCGTTATAGGTAGCGCTGAAGGAGCATTGGGATAGATAGGAGGAGAGCCAGGAGAGAGCGATGTCTCTGATGCCAAGGGAGTATAGTTTATTAAGGAGGAGGGGGTGGTCAACTGTGTCGAAGGTCACGGAGAGGTCGAGGAGTAGGAGGACTGAGTAGTGGCCATTAGCTTTCGCGGTTAGCAGGTCATTAGTGATTTTGAGTAGGGCGGTTTAGGTGGAGTGTAGGGGACGAAAGCCAGACTGTAGTGGATTGAGGAGGTTGTTGTCATTGAGGTGGGAGCTTAGGCGATTGTAGACTAAGCGCTCGAGGAGTTTGGATGAAAATGGCAGCAGGGAGATGAGTCTAAGTTTGCTCAGGTCGGTGGGGTCCAGGGAGGGTTTTTTGAGTATGGGAGTGATGTGCGCGTGCTTTAGGGGGAGGGGAATGCGCCAGTAGAGAGGGTGAGATTTAAGAAGTGGGTGAGGGAGCGTAGGATGGAGGAGGAGGGAGACCGGAGGAGTTATGTGGGGACAGGGTCAAGGGGGCAAGTGGTGAGGCAGGCTTCTGAGAAGACCTTAGGGTCCTCTTCAGTGGTAGCAAGGCTGAAGGAGTGGAGTGTTGGGGAGGTTTTAGTGTGCAGGATGTTAGGCGTGGTGGGGGTCAGGGCGGTTGCGAGGTCAGAGGAGGGGAGAGTTGAGGGGGTTATCGTGGGAGGGAGGCTAGGTGGGGAGGTAGATTGAGCATTGGCGATGTCTTTACGGATTGCGTCGATCTTGGTTTGGAAGTGGTTGGCAATCTCCTGGGCGGTGAGTGAGGTACTGGGTGGAGGTGTGGGGGGGGGGGGGGAGTAGGGAGTTGAAAGTGGAGAAGAGCCGGCGAGGACAGGTGGAGAGGGCATTGATGAGGGTTATGAAGTAGGCTTGTTTGGCGGCATGGAGGGAGGAGGTGTAGGTGAGGAAGGCGGATTTGTAAATGGTGAACGCTTGAGGGGATCTGGTTTTGCGCCATAATCGCTCCAGCACGCAACTGCGTCGTTTAAGATTTTTGGTGTGGTCGTTCTGCCAGGGTTGAAGCGGTAGGGGTCTAATGCTGCATGTGGTTAGGGGTGTTAAGGAGTTTAAGGCAGCTGACAGTGAGTTGTTATACACAGTAGTGGCCAGGTCAGGGCAGAACAGTGGAAGAATACTGTCGTAAAGACAGTCAGCTGCAGAGTGGAGAGGGGCCGGGTTCAGGTTGCGGAGGTTACGGCTGGTGATGGTTTGACGTTTGGGGGGGGGGGGGTTTTGAGGACGGGGAGACGGAGAATGTAATGAGGTTGTGGTCAGAGAGAGGGAAAAGGGTGTTTGTGAGGTTGTGGGGGGTAATCCATGGCGGCTTATTGTGTTACCAATGGTTTGTTTGGCGACTGTGGTCCCAGCTGCCTTGAGATCATTCACAAGCTCCTCCCACGTAGTTCTGGGCTGATCCCTCACTTTTCTCATTATCATCATTACCCCATGAGGTGAACTCTTGCATGGAGCTCCAGACCGAGGGCGATTTATGGTTATTTTGTATTTCTTCCATTTGCCAATAATCGCTCCAACAGTTGTCTCCTTCTCACCAAGCTTCTTGCTGATGGTCTTGCAGCCCATTCCAGCCTTGTACAGGTCTAAAATGTTGTCCCTGATGTCCTTTGACAGTTCTCTGGTCTTTCCCACAGCTGTGGGGTTTGAATGGAAGAACAAGATTCTGTGGAGAGGTGTCTTTTATACACATAACGAGCTGTCATTAGTAGCATCTTCTTAAATCGACAGGGCTAATCTGTGTACCACATGAGCCAGTCTGTGGGAGCCAGAATTATTGTTGGTTGGTTGGTTGGGGATCAAATATTCATTTTACTCACTGAACTGCAACTCATTTGCTTCATGTGTTTTTTTTCTGGATTTTTGGTTGATATTCTGTCACTATCATTTAAAAATACACCTATGATAAAAATGATAGACCCTTCATGGGCAAACTTACAAAACCTGCAGGGGATCAAATAATTATTTTCCCCACTGTAGGTGCCTAGAAGTGAGATTTGCAATATTTTAGGAAATATTTGGAAAACTATACTTGAAAGTGTACTTCTAGGCAAAACCTTTTCTTTCAGTTTTGGAAAGAGTGGGGAAGGTGTCGATCCCCGCATTGCTGCCCTTAAAGTGGAACTTTAGTCAGAAAATTCAGTCTTGCTAGATCACTTCAGGCTGGCCCTTTTGCAGGTATAGCTATGTAAAACATTAAAAAATAAGTGCCTATACTGTTTAAAATCCAGTTATACACTGTCACCCTGCTCTGCACATGTTCAGTTGCTCACCATTTTTAGGTACTCTGCTGAATTTCTAGAGGCCAATCAGCTGACAGTCTAAAGATTAATGTGGAACTAAACGCAGTGTCGGATCGGAGAAGTTGTGTCATGTGGTAGTAGCGCTGCGGAGTCTTCCCGGGGATCGTCCTCGCTTTCAGGACAAGTAGCGCTAGCGATCTCCGCCCACAAGGTTTCTGTGAATGAGTGAACTACATCTACCGTCATCCATTGCCGCTAAACAGCTTGTAGTTCTGAATGAACTCTGAGGGCGCTGGTGTCTTACTCATCTCTGGGAGGTTTGTAATTGTCCTTCTTCAGGAATACTAAAGAAGCTGATTTATATAAACTCATTATTGCAGATCTTATCCGGGGAGAGTATTACTGTACTGCATGGAGGCTTGGAATGAGGAGCATTCATTTCATTGAGGGGAGCCTGTGAGGAATCTGCCCCTATCAGGAGTGGTGTGATCCTTTGAGCGTGCTGACCCTGTAGGGTCGAGTTAATGAGGTGAGGGGCCACTCAGGTCACTGGAGGATTGGCCACAGATTATACACAGTCACTTGCATGAAAATTGAATGGAAGCACTTTCATCAGATTATATATAGTGTATATATATGCACTGTTTGCGGACTGTTTTGGAAGTTTATATTATTTTTGAAGTCACTGTTGCATTTTTTGTGAATCACCATTTGAGTATTTATCACTTGCACTTGCTATATTCCCTTAGTGGAAAGTCACGTGTTGCACAATTTTGTGTGCTATCCCCCTCTTTGAGTGTTTGTAAGGGGATTGTGTGTGTCACTACACTGTTTATTATTTTATATGTATTGTATATTTATTTAGCGCTACACTTTTTTGTATTAATTAGTCATTTCACTTTAAAGGTAATAAGGTCAGTGTCAGCAGCTTCTAGGGTTAGGGCTCTATTTCAAGTGCAGGAGGATTTTTTCTTTAATCCAGCTCTATTGACATCCCCAGCCACCAATAGCGGCGTGGGTAGGGCGGTGCGTGTGCCCTCTACTTGGAAATGCAAATCACGTATATATACACGTGACTTTGCACAGCCATGTTGCCCTGTAGAAGTACTTCTGCTATAGTGCAAGTGGTTAAGATTAGCTGGCAATTCTCCCTCAGCCATATACAGAGGGTAGGACTGGTGCAAAGTGTCAGTGATGCTCAGCAGCCAATAAGACCTCAATTCAGTTTTCTAGTACTAATCGAGGGGTCTATTTATAAATGTTTTCTCACAACCTTCACACAACATTACCCAGGACTGACAACTTTTCCAGCTGAATCCAATTAGAAAAATATACAAATTTTTGGTCAATGTTTTGTGAATCTTGTGTAAAAACATTTATAAATATACTCCTAAAACGGTTAATAAAACAGTAAAATTATTTTTAACACATACATTCCAATGATTAGGGCTTTTATTGAAGAGTAAACCTGTATAAAAAATGTGCACAGACTATAGCTTTATTTTACGAAATCACAAGATAGAGCCTACACTTTTCAAGACATTTTCCATATGTTGAATGCACAGCTGAAAAAGTAAAATTAGTCAACATGTGGCCTTATCTCAAAATGATGTACAATTCCCCGTAGGACAGTAATCTACATAGTCATCTCAGAAAGCTTTTACAGCACTTGGCTTTTTTAAGCTATAATTGATAGTAAAATGGGTTTGCTCACTTCAGTTCCAGTTGTTTTATTTTCTTTTGTACTGCACGCAAGCTTATCTGGAGGTCATCTTTACAGCGTTCTGCATTGAGACATCGCTGTTGTAGTTCCTCTAGCTTCCTGTAATCTGTCTCATTCACCCGGCCTTCTTGATACACCTGCAACAAGAGATTGGATGGTGTTGACACTAGATCACCATGAGGGATTGAAATGTATTTTCTGGATATGAGACAAGTCAAAAAGCCAAAGACACAAAAGTATACCCTGCACACAAGTAAACAGATGGTACAGAAAAGCTTAGACTTGGTAAACAACAAAACTGTACATATACAAAAACTAAGAAATGGTTTAAAGAAATTTGTTTTTTTTTTTTTGTAAATGATGTCATTGATTTTAAACAGCATATATATATATACATATATTTCATGGCTTTTGTTCACAAACCATACAGCACAGCACAAAAACTTACAATCTAACTTCCCTAAACCAGATACACATACAACCCCCAGACAGGCTCTAAAGGCAGTAGTCAAGTAAACTTCCATTATGGTTTTCCATTGTTGAAAAAAATAAAACACATGAGGGGATTAAATCCCTCACTGGTCACACGTTTCTGGCAGTAACATCCCCTTCAAACAACTTGTGCCTAATTCTGGAAAGCTTTGAAACAGGTTTGTTAAAGTGATTATAAAGTATATAATTTATTTATTTTTTAATAACAAACATCTTATACTTACCTGCTCTGTGCAATAGAATAGCACAGAGTGGCCCCGATTCCCCTCTGGGTGTCCCCTGCTGGTGCTCCTGGCTCCTCCTCTTCTCGTTGTGCCACTATATATACTATTGTGGCATACCTGCAGGCTTGATGCAAAGCTGCGCTGCCTATGTCCATAAACACAAACAGCGTGGCTTGGCCCTGCCCCCAGCTCTCTCCTCACAGGATTTGACTTACAGCAGCAAAGCCTGTGAGAGTGAGGAGAACTGCTACAGACGGGCACAGCGCTGGATTGAGTGCGGGCTCAAGTATTTTTTTTACTTAAATGCATTACCTCAAAAATGTTTGGGCTTTATAACCACTTTAAAGTTTCTAAAACATGGAGTAGATTCAGTTAGTTTTTTTTTTTTTTTTTAGTTTTTTAACAGTTGCGTTTATTTAATTCGTACAAAAGTAAAACAGGTCAAGGTACATAAGAACATATAAGCTCATGGCAGTCAGTAGAAATACAATACATCTGAGATTCCAATGCTAAAGTTCATACATAGTCAAATGGACATCCAGAGTCAGAGCGAAAGAAACATACATGTTACACTGTAGATGGCCATCACCCACCAAATAAGAGTTAGAAAAGAGATCCAAGGGCATGAGCTGGAGCGGAAAAGAAAACAGTGGATAAAATAAAAAAAAATAAAAAAAGGGGGGGGGAGGGAGAAAGGGGGAAGAGGAGGGAAAGGAAAAAAGGGGGAGGGAAAAGGAGAGGAGGGAAGGAAAAAGGGGGTCAAAAAGGAAATGCAAATCATAAACATAAACAATAGCCAATCAGCAAACAATACAAACTGGAAATACCCGCAAGAGAAAAAAACGGAATGTTATACCATAAGGCCCTGTGCCTCCACCCACCCAGCCCATGTTCTATCAAACTTCGCTGGACAGTTACGACTCATATAAGTAAGTTTATACAATGGGAGCGCACCGTTGATTGCCGATTTCCAACCCAAGACTGACGGCGGGGCAGACTGCATCCATCTCAACAAACGTTCTATTCTAGCATAATAGAGAGCATAGAAGAACAATTTATTATGCTTAGACATCTCTACAAGGTCCAGGAGACCCATCAACATAATAATCGGATCCATGGGAATAGACAGTTTACTAACAGCATTAATAGTATCTAGCACCCTGGCCCAAAAGGGAAGAAGCTTGGAACATTCCCAAAACATATGGTGAAACGTGCCCACTGCATATCACATCAAGGACATGTTGCTGATCTATCAGGATATATTGCAGCCAATCGCCACAGGGTGTAATATACTCTATGGATATATTTCAGCTGTATTAAGTGGTCCCTGGCAGAGATCATGGTAGGGAGGCACTGCAAAAGACAATCCTCCGAATCATCCTCTGACAGAGATGAGAGGTCTGTGTGCCATTTATCATAAAGCAACTACAATCTAGGGGTAGATAGGGGTAGCAAGAGAGAATGGAGAGAGGACAACTGTTTAGGCAAGTCCTCCATTAACAATACGTTTTCTAAAGGGTCAGTCTGAATGGTAGGTGGAGACGGAAATTGAACGGCCACCGCATGCTGCAATTGTAAAAAACGGAAAAAAACATCCGGTTAGGCAGGCCATGATTGCGTTTGAGTTCATCAAAGGGAAGCAGGACACCACCAGGCATAATATGGTGCAATGTTTTAATGTCATACCGAGCCCACACCACAGGATCCGGTATCGTGTGCAAATGAGGGAGGGCAGGGTTGCAGTGTGTGAGGGAAACAGGAGCCACTTGCACCAAAATGAATTCTAGCCCGACTCCACAACCTCAGGGTCATCAGCATGGGAAAAGTAATGGCCGAATTGGATTCTGGACCTCTATAAATTAGGTTACAAAGTTCTGCATACGAGCCCAATATTGCTGCCTCCAGGATCGCTGCAGCATTATCCCTAGGCCAGGAGAGCCGCCACTGCACTGTGACCAGAACAGCTGCCCAGTAATATAAAAGCAGCTTAGGAAGTGAGAGGCCGCCATGATTAATAGGTAGGTGCAGAGTAGATTGGGAAAGTCTTGGGGTCTTTCCAGCCCAAATAAACGCAGAGACGACACTATCTACGTAACGGAAAAGGGATTGCGGGATCTGCACCAGTGTATGCCGAAAAAATAGATAAACTTAGGTAGAAATATAATTTTAAAAAGATTAACTCGGCCTATGGCACTGATAGGAAGGGAAGACCAAGTAGTACATTTAGTCTGCAGCTGTTGCAGGAGGGGATGAAGATTGTCCGCTAGGTACTTTGTCAAGTCCTGCTGCACCGTTACACCCAAGTATTTAAACTGAGAGACCGATCTAATAGGGGTGAAGGAAATATTAGGCAGGGGCCCCGGCGCAAGAGGAAACAGCATTGATGTCTCCCAATGAATGCATATTCTGGAGTATCTTCCAAAGCAATCAATAAGACTCAGTGCCTCTCTAAGAGACAGTTTACAGTCCCTCAAATACAAGAGAGTGTCGTCCGCATACCGGGAAACCCTATCCTCCCAGTCGCCCACTCGTAGGTCATGTAAGGAATTGGAACAGCGGATCACGCAAGCCAAAGGCTCAATCACCAGGGCAAACAAGCCTGGAGAAAGGAGACAGCCCTTCCGAGTACCCCTGTGGAGAGCAAACGGGGGTGAAATGATATTATTAGTAAGTACTCTCTTAAGTGGCGCATTGTACAGGCATCTGATCCAAGCAATGAAGTTAGGGTCAAATCCGAAGCGGTGCAGCGTTTCCCATAAATACTCCCACTCAACCGAATCAAAGGCCTTCTCGGCATCCAGGGACAGCACCACCCCTGGGTCATCACTGTCGCGAACCGCAGAAATATGGGTGAACAGTCTTCGTATGTTAGTATCAGTACCATTCCCTGGCATATAAACCCGTTTGGTCATGGTGTAACACCATAGAGATAACCGAACACAGTCTCCTAGCAAGCACCTTAGCGACTACTTTCACATCAGTGTTCAACAGGGAGATCAGCCGATAGGAGGAGCAGTGAATCAGGCTTCAAAATCACCACAATCACTGCTTGAAGCGTGTCAGAGGGCAGGGTTCCTGTCTGAAGTAGTGTGTTAAAAAGTGTTTGAAAATGGGGAGCCATTTGCTCAATGTATGTTTTATAGAATTCAATGGGAAAGCCATCCGTGCCCAGCATTTTGCCAGATTGGAGAGCGCCAATCGCCTGCTGGATCTCCTCCAAGGAAATCGGTACCTCCAACTGCTCCCTCTGGACCGAAGAGAGAGACGGCAGGTCAACATGATCCAAATAGCAAACTCCTGTGGCGTGAAGGTAGCCTTGGAGGAATATAAACTTGCATAATAGTCGGCAAAATGCCGGTTGATTGAGATCGGATCAAGGATCCTGGAACCATCTTCAGCCTGTATTAGTGCAATATTGGATAGGGCAGATTGTTCTCTAGCCAACGAAGCTAGTAGGAGGCCTGCTTTATCTCTCTGTTCAAAAATACACTGTTTTTGATGGAGTATCGCCTTCCTGGAGGCCTCTGTGCATAACAATAAAGCGTCCCTGGTAGTTAGTTGTAAGTCATGGTGAGTAACAGGATCCGGATTGAGCACATAATTGGATTCAGCTTCCTGCACCCTCCACCAAGTCCACTTCCTCCCGCCATCTAACCTGCAGCCCCCCTATCAGGGACTGATACTGGCTCCTAAGAGTAGCCTTACAATCCTCCCAGGTAGTAGTAGGTGCAGCAGTATTCTCATTAGAGTCCCAATAATGCTCCAATGCCTTTCCTATAGGGGGTTCTACAACAGGATCAGTGATCCAATACTGAGATAACCTCCAGACTTTTCCCCCCGGGGCATCAGTAATACTTAACCTAAGAAGGAGTGGAGCATGGTCAGAAATCCCTCATGGAAGGATGGAAATCTCCGGAACCCTCGCTAAAACTGCAGGTGTAACATAACAAAGATCAATTCTAGACATAGTTCTGTGCAATGCTGAGTTACAGGTATAGGTCCTGGTCCCAGGATTTTTCCACTGCCATACATCCGTGAACTGCTAAAGCTCCGCCCACTTAGCCAACCCCAGTATCCAGTACCCTACGGCTCATCAGATGGGTTTCTTGCAAAATACAAATATGTGAAGAATAGGATTTGAGAAACTGGAAGACCAAGGAGCTCTTAACAGGAGAGTTGAGGCCCCGCACGTTCCAGGAGATACATTTCAAATCAAGTGGCGCCATAAAATAAATACTGGAGAACTAATTTGTGACCACTCAGGCTGGACATCAGGAAGAAAACATAAAACTGTAAATTAGACATCAGGAGGATCAGAAAATTAGCTTGAAACCATGTACAGACTGAAGCACAGAAAAAAAACAAGTGGACCTTGCAACATAGAAAAAGGATGAAAAACACCCAAAAAAACAAACAAATCATAACCCCCCCCCCCCCCCCAAAAACTGGGAGAGTCATATTTCCCTGAACAAAAACAGGCAACAGGCCACAGGGATGTCCGTGGAGTGAGGACATAGAGCAAGTTAGAGCCCACATATCGAAGAGAAGCCCCCTTACAGGTAATGGGGCATATCACTCAGCCATCGCCGAGGGCACTAACTAACTTAAATTATAACTGGTGAAAACAGATAATCCGGGAATCCCAACTGAACTGATATTCGAGCAGAGGTAGCAAAACGACAAATCTTGCAGTGGTGCAACAAGATCAGCGCTGTGGTCATAGGGTTTCCAACCAGGATGCTGCCTCCTCAGGCACAGTGAAGAAGCGCCTGGATTCACCATCCTGAACTCTGAGCTTCGCAAGGAACAGCATGCCATAGGTAAGGCATTTTGCACGTAGTTGGGCCTTAACAGCATCAAAGGATCGATGTTGTTGTTGGGTATCCACCGAATACTCAGGAAAAAACATCAACTTCTGTTTGTCATAGAGCAGTTCCCCCTGGGCCCTAGCCGCCCTTAGTGCCTGATCTCGATCACGGTAATTAAATAGCTTAAAAATAAAGGTGCGGGGCGGCGAGTCAGGTGGTCCCGACTGCCGGCATTCGATGGGCCCTCTCAACCACAAAGAAGCTGGAATAGGTAGCTCGAGGCAGCAAGGAGATTCTCTGTAAACCAAGGCGGATCGTCACATTCTGCTCCCTCAGGAAGACCCACCACCGGGAGATTGTTGCGCCTACTGAGGTTCTCCACATCCTCTGCTCTAGTCTCAAGGTATTTGACCTTAACCCGCAGTGTATACATCTCTGCCGAATTGTCATGAATAGTGTCCTCTGCATCGCTGACCCACTGTTCGACCGCTATCACTCGACTCCGGAACGTGTCAAGATCTCCCCGGATCAGCCCCACATCAGTCTGTAGATGTTTTATTTTTATGGGGAGCACCGCCTGACAATTAGTGATCGCCGTCAGGAGAGAATTAAAGTCTGCAGGTGCAACAGGTGGATTGGGCTCCTGGGACGGGTATGCGGCCATGGTGACCCTGCTTTAACCCCGGAGCAGCTTATGTAGTTTTGGTTCTTCTGCCAGCGGTTGAAGGCTTTCCTTTAGTCATCCCCAATATTCATTCACAGCGGCAGAGAAAATGGTTACTATAAAAATTGGCGTGGAATACAGGTATTTGTCCCCCACAAATAACTGAAGACATATAAACCAGGCTGAAGCTGTGGCAGGATTTGGAGCCCCACACGCAGAGACAGATGCCACAGATATCACAGGTGGCCCAGGTGTGGACCCCAGCCAGAGCTCAAGCCCAAACCAGGAGCCAAGCAGGGCACAGGGCTGCCAGGGCCCTGCAGAGTGTAACTTGACAATCTTCAGAGGGGGCAGCACAACAGCACTAATGTTCCCCCTCCAGACAGCAGCCACCCCCCACAGGCTCCTGGACAAGGCCGGACTGCTTCACCCCCAGGATGGGCACACAGTCTCCCCTGATTGTAGGCCCAGACAGGCCTCAGATACCCAGAGTGGGAGTTAGGGGCCAATGGAGGGTACCACCCTCCCCTAGACAGCAGCTCACCACACCAGGGTCCAGGCAGGGGGCAGCAGCACCCGGATGAGTCAAAGGCTGGATTCAGAACGCAAGGAGGCCGCGAACCTCCGTCACTTCGGAGGGGGGTCAAACTGACCCGTTTCCCCTCTCCATTCAGCAGGACAGGTCCGCAGGGGTTTCTGCTGGTGTCAGGATCCCGCTACCCCCAGGATGGATGCGGATTATGGATCAGAGGTAGCAGAGCTCTCCCCCCTATGCGGCCGTTCCGGTCGCCATCTTGGACAGCCCCCCATCCCCCCCATTCAGTTAGTCCGACGGACCTGTGCCGACGGACCTGTCCTCCTCATACTGCGCATGCGCATGTTGGTCCACGCATGCGCAGTCACAACCATGCTATACTGGCGTGCGTTCCACACACAGGATCTGCAGCTATAGAGAGAAGCACAAGATCTCCCTCTGCTGCTGATTATTCAATACTACGGATCCAATATTACTGATCCAATACTATCCACCAGAGACATGGATTCTCCATCATTCGATCATGAAGTACATGCAGCTGCCTGGTAATACACATCACACAGCTTCTGGTTGAAGGTTTATGTGTGTATGTATATATATATATATATATATATATATATATATATATATATATATATATTATATATATATGCTTGTGTCACTGTATGGTCACCTATCCATTAAGACATCTATTGACTAATAATTTATTGTTATTTTTACATTATATGCTATATACTCATCCAGCATCATGACAAGCTCTTTGGATGAATTGTCCATTTGATACATCGTTCACTAATGAATCATGTAATAATATTAACTATTTATTATTTTTCATCATGTATTATCTATCATCATCATTTCCATTGCTGTTATCTCTTAGTTGATATATTGCATGCATACTAAGTGGTTTATGCAAAATGTGGTTTTATATATTATATATTTTATGTTTTTTTATATTATTTCTCTCTGATGGCATTACAAATAGCTATTGTCTGTTGACGATACCTTGGCCCCTCCTACTAACCTGAGACTGCCCAACCCAGAGGGGGGGCCTATGTTCAGTCCAGGAGTATATATAGGAGAGAGCACTCACAGTTCAGTTAGCTCTGATGAAGAAGGGACCCCCTTCGAAACGCGTCAGCTATACTGAACACCCATTCCCTTGATGGGACTCACGCTATCTTCAAGTCCCTGTGAGGACTTACATGCCTGATTTCATTCGCTGTTTGTGAGTATATTTTTTACAATTAATACATTTTGGTTACTGAGGTAATGCGCAAGGTTGGTGCGCTTCTCGTTTTCATTTCATTCTGCAGTCATAAAGAATTACAGCCAGCTTAAAGTTTAGGAAACTGGTGGCAATTAAGATCAACTCTAAGCTCACATACAGTGAGATGCTAGTGGTCAGAGTGCATCATGTGTGTGCTGGAATGTTGTGATAGCTTCCCGTACAGGGCTTGTGAGTTGCTTGAATGGCAGCTGTCATTAGTATCCTAGCAACCAGTAAGTTATCCCTGGCCCCATGCAGCTGCCAGCCAGGAGATTATCATGGAATTATCAAAATATGACTATGGCCATATTTGGACCATAACAGGAATCTTCCAGCCAGCAGCTGAATGAGTTGGTGAACCCCACACACACACTGGTAGTAGTGGCAGTGAAATGCTATCCCCCCTCACACCTGTGGTTACGGGCAGTGAAATTTAATTCCACCCCACCCCTTGCATTGTTGGTCAGTGGGAGTGGGTGTTAACCCCCAACCTCATTGCTGAGCATGGCAGTTAAAAGATATCACCCCATAATCTTCCCCCACTTTGCTGGGCATGGCAGTGAAAGTTACCCTGCATTCATCCCCCCCCCCCGAACCCCCACATTGCTGGGCATGGCAGTGAAAGTTATTTGCCCCATATTCACCACCCACAGTGCTGGGCATGAAAATGAAAGCTACCCTCCACACTCCACTGCGCTTCACAATGCTGGGCGTTGCATTGAACGTTAACCCCCACATTGCTGGGCATGATAGTGAAAGTTACCCTGCCATAATCTCCTCCCACATTGCTGGACATGGCAGTTTAAGGTTTAACCATTTCAATACCGGGCAATTTTACACCTTCCTGCCCAGGCCATTTTTCACGTTTCAGCGCTCTCACACTTTGTATGACAATTGCGCGGTCATACAACATTGTACCCAAACTAAAATTTTATCATTTTCTTCACACAACTAGAGCTTTCTTTTGGTCGTATTTAATCACTGCTGGGGTTTTTCTTTTTTGCGAAATTAAACTACAAAAACAAGAACCAAAAACTTTTGACAAAAAAAGACCAAAAATTTTGAAAAAAAAAACACGTTTTTCTTTGTTTCTGTAATAAAAGTTTACAAATAAATAATTGTTCTTCATAAATTTAGGCCGAGATGTATTCTGCTACATGTCTTTGGTGAAAATAACCCAAATTAGGATGTATTATTTCGTTTGTAGGAAAGTTATAGAGTTCACAAACTATGGTATAGATCTGAATATTGATCAATCCTGAAGTACTGTCAGCCAATCTAATTTCTTGAGGTCCAAGAATGTCAGAATAGTACAGATATCCCCCAAATGACCCCTTTTTGTAGAGTAGACAGTCCCGACGTACTTCATAAGAGGAATGACTCTAGAACTTGGTCTTACCTTCTCCAGCTCTTCCTCTGCAGCTCGCTTCTCTCTTAAAAGACGTTCTATAAGGCTTTGCTTCTCACCACATTCCTATTCAACAAAAGGCACATTCCTATTTAACCAAATAATATACAATAGGTTCTAACATGTTTACAAACATATGAGTTTATTTAAAGTGAAGTTAACTATGCTATTCCACTTGCAATCCCATTTAAGCCCCCGGTCTCATTGGGTGCGACTTGGCATGCAATTTGCATGCCCTACGACTTGCAAATCGTATGCCAAGTCGCACCCTATTGTCCACTATTAGAGCGGTCATATCAGTACGGTTCCGACTTGGTTGGAGCCGCACCGATTTCTAGTACATGCACTACTTTTGGTGCAATTTGCATAGACATCTGTAAGTGGTATCTTACCGCATCCGAGTATGCAGTAGGATACCGCATAACATTTTTTAAAAAAAAAGCTTGAATTCACTAAATTTTTAATTGCCGGCAATTAAAAAATAATTTTAAAAAACGGCGTGGGGTCCCCCCTCCATCCCTACCAATCTCCCTACCCCCATGCCAAAATTAAAAAAAAAAAAACGGTGTGGGGGTTCCCCCCAAAATCCATATCAGACCTTTATCCGGGCATGCAGCCTGGCAGGTCAGGTCAAAATCTCCTAAACAAGGGCCTCTTCCCCACAACCCAGGGCTGTGGTTGTGGGAGTCTGTAGGTGGGGGGCTTATCGGAATCTGGAAGCCCCCTTTAGTAAGGGGGCCCCCAGATCCTCCCCCCCATGTGAATGAGTATGGGGTACGTGGTACCACTACCCATTCACAAAAAAAAAAAAAAGTGTAGTGTGAAAAAAGACAGGAGATAGTTTTTGACAAGTCCTTTATTGAAAGAAGGAAAATAAAAGAATGTCCCCCGAAGTAGATCAAACGTCAATCACGATGCACGCTGGCGCCCTGCAAAAAATAAAAAAAGGCTCCGCTCCCGATGCTGGCTCCCAGCCGGGGACAAGGTGATTTGGGGGGGGGGAGCCCTCTTGCCCGAAAGCACCCCCCCATGTTGAGGCATGTGGCTTGGTATGGTTCAGGAGGGGAGGGTGCTTGCTCGTCCCCCCCTTTCCTGACCTGCTGGGCTGCATGCTCGGATAAGGGTCTGGTATGGATTTTGGGGGGGACCCCATGTCATTTTTTCTTTTTAATTTTGGCGTGGGGGTTCCCCTCAAAATCCATACCAGACCCAAAGGGCTTGGTATGGATGGAGGGGGGTCCCCATGCCATTTTTTTATTATTTTTTTAATTGCTGGCAATTCTTTCTTTTACATTTAGCTGTCAGTGGGGAACCCCGCTAACAGCTGAAACATTAACGCATGGTTTTTACTACTAAAATACCGCATGACTTGATAAAATAACTCATGTGGTATTTTAGTAGCATTTTTTAGTGAATTCAAACCTTTTTTTTTTTTTAAATGCTATGTGGTATCCTACCGCATACTCGGAAGTGGTAAGATACCGCTTAGTGAATTGTGCCTTGCAAATCGAGTCTGAAATCGGCATTTCACCTGACTTTGAAATCGTGCGACTTACAGTGAAGTTGCACGATTTCAAAGTTGGGCTTGATGTGACCGGGGCCTAATAGTAGCTATGCATAAAGGCTGTTGTAAGATCTTTTTGCCCCTCTCTCAACCAATCTCTTGAGAACAGCATATCAGGTAAAGTCAATGTGCAGTTTTTGGATACAATGACATCATCCCTCCTTTCCTTATTGGCTGTAACAATTACATTTTTCTATTGGCTGAGGTCTAAGGTTTAAAATCTGGTAACCTTTGGTGAGTGCAGTTATTTAATATCAACCAATCTCCAACATGAGTTCCAAAAAAACATGGACAGCTGTGAAAACTCAGAGCTTGGAAATCTGATATCTGGAGGTAAAGTCAATGTGCAGTTTTCTTGGATACAAAATCATGACATCAACGTATCCATTAACACCTTTCCTTATTGGCTGTAACAATTAAATATTTTTACAAGCATTGGCTGAGAAAGCAGATAAAAAGGTTTAAAACACTAAGCTGGTAACCTTTGGTGAGTGCAAATTAGTGGCTATGGTATCTAGAAGTGCATGCTTGCTAGCCTTATGGAATCACTTAGAGTCTCCTGCCTGCTTACAAATTTTCAAACATGACTGCAGGATAAGGGAGCTTTAATATCATTTTCATATACTTTTGTTAATATCTGATAGCTTTGATATAACTTCTGCTGCATATTACCAACATTTATCATTGTTCCAAAAAACATGGACAGCTGCTGTTGCAGAAACAAAAGAGCTTATGACCGCAGCAGCTCAGTCTACCATGAGAAAATAAATGGCCTGGTTGCTATGGAAACATGTATAATCTCCAGGAAATCATGTATTTCTCACAGAAACGTTTGCATTATCACATGTTTTGCATACACATGTTTATTCTCCCTTTGAGTTCGACATTGTCACACAAACCTCCAAAATGGGCTGGACAAAAGTATTGGCACCTTTCACCATAAATAAGATGTTACAAGGCATGGACAAACTCCACCTGGGGCAAGTAACAGGTATTGGTGGGCAATAAGAAATCACACCTGAAAGCAGAATAAAAAGGAGAGACTTTTCACGTTAACCTTTGCATTGTGTGTCCTGTCTTGTGCACACACTAAGCATGGACAACAGAAAGAGGAGAGACGAGAACTGTCTGAGGACCTGAGAACCAAAATTGTGGCAAAATATCAACAATCTCAAGGTTACAATGAGAACTAGATTTGCCTTTGTCCACAGAGCGAAACATTTATCAAGAAGTTTGCAACCCATGCATGTAGCTAATCTCCCTGGTCTGGACGGATGAGGAAAATTGATAAGATTGCAACGCAAATAGTCCGGATGGGTGGTTAAGCAAAACATGTCCAAAGACATTCAAGCTGTCCTGCAGGCTCAGGGAGCATCAGTGTCAGCGCGAAACTATCCGTCGACATTTAAATGAAAATGAAACGCTATGGCAGGAGACCCAGTCCTAATTAGATCCTAAGAAGAAAGACAATTACTGTAGAAAAAAAAAAGATGTATTTAAATCCCATTGTAACTACTGTAACTCAAGAGTAAGTTGACACTAAGATTATTCATGATCCCTTGGTTAAAGTCAGAAGTAATGATTTTTGCCTGTGTTTTCAAAGGGGTGTATATTTTTATCCTAAGGGAATAGCTTCTTGAGAAGCTGCATGATGATGGAAATTATCTTGCAAGATTCTAAATGGCCTAACTCTATTCACACTATAGTAAATGAAAGGAAAAGGAAAACACTTTTATCCACAGATTTTAGTCATTTCTCAAATTATCCTTTAAGTGTTAAATGGTACTATTTGTGTTTAATGAGCACTAAGCAGTGCTGAATGATAAGGAGTCGTACTGACTATAGACCTATTTAGCTTGCCTTGAAAATATAGGATATCACATTTTAGACAAAACTATAACACAGAGAATCACTTTTAATTTAAATGAGTCATTTGCAAACTTGCAAGAACCTTTTTCAGCTGTATTAAAAAGAAAATCTATTGAAGTTATGCAAATGTATAACACATTAAAATTCAGCAATATGTCTAAGCCAATTTTTTTTAAAAATGTGACTTTTCTCAAATTGCAAATGTATACACATATTTTGTGTATGGCACATATACTGTACGTGTGTATGTTTTCCCATTTAAAAATACATGTATGGAGTGAAAAAGTAAAGAAATAATTGGCACACTCAACAAAACTCTACATACTGTTTGCAAAGCAGAGATGTCGTCAGTCAACCGCGAAATCTGTACATTGGAAAGTTTCCTGGCATTTTCGACCTGAAGCAAGAAAATGACATACATTGTACACCGATAAAGGACACAAGAGCTAAGAAATAAGCAAGGTGAGGTGATACAGACTGTGTAAATTATAGGCAGTGTGAGATGCTTATATATTTCAGAAAGGAACTATAGGCTTATTAAAATATGAAAGGTTCAGCCTAATGTAAATAACCTTATTCATATATGAATGAATATTTAAAAAAATGTGTTTCTATGGATTTATTGACGTTATATTAATATTGGGGTTACCACATTTTTTCATTATATATGCAGTTTTATCTTCCTGCTTAGTGGTACTGCACTGTGGTTGTGGCGTGAGGATTATTTCACTGAAAGTCTGTCAGATAGGGTCTCTATAATTTAAGGCAGGGGTCCTCAAACTTTTTAAACAGGGGGCCAGTTCACTGTCACTCAGACCGTTGGAGGGCTGGACTATAGTTTAAAAAAAAAAAAACTAAGAACAAATGCGGACACAGTACAGGAGATGACCAGAGACTGCGGACATACAACGGCGGCGGGAATACTGGGCCGGCCGCTCCATAAGACGCACAGACATTTCCCCCCAAGTGTGTCTTATGGAGCGAAATAGTGCCCCATCATTGGTGTCAGTAGGAAGAATCGTGCCTCCTCATTAGTGTCAGTGGGAGGAATAGTGCCCCATCATTGGTGTCAGTGGGAAGAAACGTGCCCCATCATTGGTGTCAGTGGGAAGAAACGTGCCCCATCATTGGTGTCAGTGGGAGGAATAGTGCCCCATCATTGGTGTCAGTGGGAGGAATAGTGCCCCATCATTGGTGTCAGTGGGAAGAAACGTGCCCCATCATTGGTGTCAGTGGGAAGAAACGTGCCCCATCATTGGTGTCAGTGGGAGGAATAGTGCCCCATCATTGGTGTCAGTGGGAAGAATCGTGCCCCATCATTGGTGTCAGTGGGAGGAATAGTGCCCCATCATTGGTGTCAGTGGGAGGAATAGTGCCCCATCATTAGTGTCAGTGGGGGGCAGGAACAGTGCAGCATTGTTGGTGTCAGTGGGGGGAGGAATAGTGCCCCATCGTTAGTGTCAGTGTGGGGGGGGGGGATAGTGTCCCGTCATTGGTGTCAGTGGGGGAAGGGGATAGTGTCCCAACATTGGTGGCAGTGGGAGGAATAGTGTCCTATCACTGGTGTCAGTGGGAGGAATAGTGTCCCATCAATAGTGTCAGTGGGAAGAATAGTGCCCCATCTTTGGTGTCAGTGGGAGGAATAGTACGTCATTGGTGTCAGTGGGGGGGAATAGTGCCCCGTCATTGGTGTCAGTGGGGGGGGATAGTGTCCCAACATTTGTGTCAGTGGGAGGAATAGTACCCCATCATTGGGGTCAGTGGGGGAAGGAATAGTGTTCCATCGGTGGTGTCAGTGGGGGGGTGGAATAGTGCCCCATCGTTGGTGTCAGTGGGGGGGAGGAATAGTGCCCCATCGTTGGTGTCAGTGGGGGGAGAAATAGTGCCCCATCGTTGGTGTCAGTGGAGGGAGGAATAGTGTCCCATCATTGGTGTCAGTGGGAGGAATAATGCCCCATCATTAGTATCAGTGACACCAATGATGGGGCACTATTCCTCCCACTGACACTTAACTTGCTGACCCCTGCTCCAGCATGGTGCTGCTGCAGCCAGCATACCTGGTTGCAGCAGCACCATCTGCACGGCACACTTACCTGTCAGCTGTCCTTCACTCCGGCCTCTCCCTCACTCGATGTTCGCGGGGCTACTCGGCTCCACCTCCTCGCAGGTGATTGGCCGCCTGTGTGCCTTTCCGGAGCTAAAATTCTGGCGCCCAATCACTGGTGAGGAGGCGGAGCCGAGCGGCAGCGCGAACATCGAGGAGGGAGTGGTCGGAGTGAATGAAGGAGCAACGCTTCTTGGACTGGATCATCGTGGGACTGGGACTGGAGCCAGGTAACATATAGCAGCCCCCTGCCCGCCCCTGTACTTAGTTTAATGTCCCTTCCTCGTGGCAAATACGCCCCTGCCGGTGGGCCGGATAAATGTCCTTGGTGGGTCGCATGTGGCCCGCGGGCCGTAGTTTGAGGACCCCTGATTTAAGGCAACAGACTGAAAATCAACAACCTGCGGCATGTGTGCTCGAGCGGGCACACATTGTCTTTTTTTTAGTGGCACCCAAAAGCACTATTGCCATAAACTGAAGCTAAACAGCTCACTATTATGCCAATTACAAAGCTGCCCTGACCTTCTGCACCTGCCCTGCAACTCAACCTACCGGACATTCAGGTGTCGGTCTCCCCATTGCACAGCAGTAATTATTTGCTGGGACCTCCGGTGTCCCAGCATCCAATGACATCACATGTGCGTCCTGCCTTCTGTAGCAAGTTTCTCAGCTCAGCTCCAGCCCCCTGCTGCTCTTTCCTTCTGCCAGATTTTGCCCCCCGCAGCTGCTTCCTTTTCCCATCTCCTGCCCGAGCCTGGCTACTGGATATATGTAGATATGCTGTTCCACTTGGATGGGATTTATAGGTTGACTCTGATGGGCACATATGATGTAAAGAGGCACTTTGATGGGCACATATGGTACAAAGGGGCACTCTGGTGAACACAAATGATGTAAAGGGGCACTCTGATGGTACAGCTGATGTAAACGGCCACTGTGATGTTATACCTGATGTAAAGGGTCACTCTAATGGGGGCACTCTTTACGGTGAAATCCTATGTAAGGGGGTCGCTCTGTTGGGGGAACATTATGTAATGGGCACTCTGATGGGGACAACTGATGTAGGAATGTTGTAACTGAAACTTGACAATAAATATTAGAAGTTGATTGGCTACCATGCACAGCTGCACCAGATTCTGAGTGCACAAGCTTTAGAAAATCTCCCCCACAGTGACTACAATCTTTCTGAGCCATAGCACAAACTTGAGATTCGGACTTTGGCTGAAAGAAAATTTTAGTGATCGGACCTCCTCTAATTTTAATTCAATAACCCTGGTATACAGTATGAAATAACTAAGTTGAGGAAAGCCATTTACACTTGGATAAAAAATGTGTACCGGTATATCCGGACACAGGAAAGGATGTAAAAGTAGACTTCTGCATTTTAATCTTAGTGCTTCCACTCTGACAGCTCTACATTTCAAGGAAAGTGAGTAATATAAAACATGTAGAATTTAAAAATATGCAGTATCCTGTTGGCGAAAAAGCACAGCGTTTTACAAGTGTTGATTCTGTTACTTTTACAACACTTGGCATCTCTTACTTAGTACTTAATGCCAGCAGTTTAGAAAAAGTGTCCAGCACCAACTTAAGATGATCTTTCTGCAGAGTGGCCAGATTTCTTTTTGCAGCGCTGTGTAGGTTTATATTCCCGTTTAATATTTAATGCAGTGGATGCATACATTAGAATGTGCTTGCTTGCAATTTTCTATCTCCAAGACGTTAGTTTGTATTATGATTATAGGGTGCTGCAGAGCACCCTGGACAGTATGAGCCATAGCAGGATACAGGACTTACGCTGTCTGAACACACTTGCCTAGCTTCAGCTCTGCCTAAATTCTTTGTGAAGTATTAAGGAATGTTGAGCCTACATAATGTCATATTACAGAGGGTAGAAAGAAGACAAGCTAAGAACTATGTAGCCTAAACAAATGTTCTACAACAAACATTACAAACTCTGTGGAATTTGGATTTCATTCACTCCCCTGCCCAATTTTGATATTTCCTACAAATTAGACTTAGTCCTCCCATTTTGGCCTCAGTGTTTACTATCCTCAAAGTTCACATTCAAAATGCAGCTTTCTACCTGGCATTGATGTGGGAATTATCTGCAGCTTGTCTTTACACTTGACCTACAGTATTCAATTATAGCAATATATTCATAGGGTCCTGCACTGCACTGAAGAGTTTCATAGGTAAATAAGAAAAATGAAAGTAACATTTTCAAGTTATATATACCAGTGATGGCTGATTGGCTTTTCTCAGGAAACATTATACCCCATACAGCATGCAGAAAATAGGGTAGTTTCACTGATGTCTTTAGCTAACAAGAGTATTTTTTTATACTTATTATTCAGTATCTTCCACGTTTATTAAGGCTCTAATATAGCAGTGGGTTTTTCCAATTTATAATAATTTATAATAAGAATAGTCCTTGAGAGTGACCCCCAATAGCAATAGGGTTAACTTGAACAAAGAAAAAACAAGAAAAGATCAAGAGAAAAATAGAAGGAAAAAAGTGTGTGTGTGGGAAGGAAGAGTATGTGAAAAATGTAACAGAACTGCAGTAGTAATCCGTGCAAAAAAAACCTGTATTTAGCTTGCCTGAAGATGATTGTTTATTTTTCTATGATCAGGGTGGCATTACAATTTATCAGTCAAATACTGCACATTCCTTAACAAAATCTAAACTGATCTTGCTTCTTAAAGAGGTTTATAAGAAGATGTGGTCTGGTCATGAACAATCAAGAATGCATAATCTGAAGTTCCAGCTAAAGCATTGGACATCTCAGCACACAACAAGGCAAATTACTTGTCAACACCGAATTCTAAGATTGGAATCCACGGCAGCCCCAAGTTGTTTCTAAAGCCTAAAAAGGGACCAAAGATTCATTCTGTCTAGAAAGCAAGTAATGTGCGCTTCAGTTAAAATCCAATATGGAGCCCCAGGAACTGACTCAACAGGTGGCTCAAAGCTCAGCAGCCGAGACATACACTTCATTGGAGACCCAGAAAAAAAGATTGTGCGTCCAGTCACCCTCACACACAAGTTATATACAGGAGACAGAAAATGTGTTTATTCCCCTGAAAAAATATTATGAATAGTAAAATAAAAGTGTGAAAATGGGATAAGAAAACATGTTTGTAAATTAGTTAAGGAGAAGGGTAACTTACATATGGCTAAAATTACTCAAATGCTAGAGCACCTTGTGTATCATATGGAGGGATAAAGCCTTAGAGATAAGAAAATGTCAAGCAGAAAAGATACCTAGCCGATATATCATACCCCAAAC